TTCCTCCATTTGTAGAAGTGACTTCCTCTTTGGGATTTCCCCTTCCCTCAGGCAAAAAAAATACGGCCTGAATTTCAGGAAGGCATCTCAAGAAGATGTTCAACTTAATTGTACCTGTTTATATTGCTCTGCAACAGGGACCTAAAGTTTGTCACCTCCGTTCAGCTGGCACTAGCTCAGTTAACATGCTAACATCAAATTTTCACTAGTCTGGTGAAAAGGGGAAAGAAATGAGATTTCTTACCAGATCCTTCTTCAGACAGAGCATCTCCCCAGAGCTCTTCTTGCAGGGCTTTGCGAGATGTAGTTTTCCCACTGTACCTTTTATCAGCTTCCAGGAGAGAGGCTGAAGCCTTTTTCCGTATGTTACCAACGGGGAGAATGTCATCTGCAGTTTCATCCTCAAATTTGTCAATCACTTTAGCAACTGTAGCTGTGGGGAAAAAAAAAAAAAAAAGGGAGGAGGCACGTCTGAACTGAATTGAATTTCAGACTAGCTGCAGGAAGGAGCCATGGCAAACTCCTCATGCTCTACAAACAAAAATACTCAGTAAAGATGAGCTGGATGGCAACACGGCCTCACGTAAGAGTCTGGCTTTGAGGCTCTTCCCTGCCTGGTGAAGGAAAGTCGGTACACTAATTTTCGAAAGGTTGCTGAAGAATGAATCAAAGGCAGGAAAAAAGCCTCGAAACTGGGTTTTCTGCACATCAGCACCAGGCCTGCCTCGGAACTGCTGAGCAAAGAAACACAAGATCTAGCAGAAGAGATAAAATAGCTCCAAGGGTATTTTTTAGAAAACATCCTATGACTTCTCTGCAGCCAGAGGATTCTCCCACCTGCCAGGTTAACCTCTGCAGGAGGAAGGGAGACGTTACACAAACTGACCAATTCCAACCCCCTTCTCAATACTCCAGACTTCTCCGTATACAGGTTTGGTATCACAGGACTCCACTGCAATCCAGAAATGAATGTTTATTAACAAACACCAAAAATCCTTCTGAATCCTTTTTTCTTTTTGAATGAACATTGCCTACATCCACACTTTCTTTCCTGTCTCTTCTTTATTTTAGAGAACCCACACAAAGTGCTAGAAAACTAAGCCTGCCCAAGCCCTTCTCATGAGAAGTGTAGTCCTCTGGGTGGAGGACTCAGGAAAGCTGGAATGCCTTCACTCACTTCACACTTACAGATTAAATGACAGAAACTGCAATTCAGATGCACTTTGGCCTCTTGCTATACATATGAGCCACAGAAATATGTAAATATTTTAGAATGGCTAAATGGAGAAAATAGTTTCACTGTTTCTGTTCCACTGAAAGAGGGTTATTACCCTCTTTCATACTCATCTTCTCCAGGACACAGCAATGGAGCAGTCCAGCAAAAAGAACACATCACACCATATTCCCTCCTTATTTTCATTCATGTGCAAGACACCCTGTATGTAAAATTACAGGGTTAGCTTTGTTCAACCAATTGAGTGATCCAACTGGCTGAACATCGCTAAGTGCTCTTCTAATGTGTGTTTGGAAACGTTAATGCCTCACATGCAGTGTTTGCTTGAGGCAGGGGGAAGCAAAAAAAACTCCTGCTCATCATGCAAGCAACACGATCAAGTCTAAACATAGTCACTCCAGCTACAAGAGGATGGCAAGATGGTCAACACCAAGGAGTGACTGGGCAAGAGGGGCAGATGCAGAATGACCTGTGACACTCAATGGATCTTCTGGTGTTTCCAGTCTTGGCATCACTAAAGTATGAAGCGTGAAACTAAATCACGATGACTAAAATGGGAAAACGCCTCTGCTGACTACATTCATCTCCTCAACGGTTACTAAGATGTTGCTTACAAGATACTATCGCTCTCACGTACATTTGTACAGAAGAACCAGGCTAGCTGGCACAATGTTTGCCCTGACTGGAGCCTGGTACCTCCTGAAGCCAACGGCTGCCAGCATGTGATGGTTAACCCGCTATCTCAAGAGGGGAGTGCAGAACACTGTGACAGCTCCAGAGATGGCTCCTGCCCATGGCTTGAGGGTCTGCTGGTGGTGGGAAGACTGCGCTGGAGAGGGCAAGTCGAGGGCACAGCAGGCACCAGCCTGGAAACTGAGAAGATGACGCTGCCACCTGTCACAGGGAAAGGGACGAATGTCCCAAACATCATAACTAAGGCAAAAGGAGCGTGATTTGAAATAAAAATTGATAACTGACCACAGGACACGTGCAGCACACTGCGGGCTGCTCGGAGCGCCCTGTGTGCCAGGGAGGGGGTCACCAACAACGGCGCCCGCTGAGCCTC